AGAAAAAGGTAATCAACTGTTTATGAATTAGTTGTACGTTATTGCCTGAAAATAAGGACAGAAGAGCTACTGTCTTTCTTTAGTCTTTCTTTAGTTGACCTGCCTCAACCAGGTCAGAGGTTTTACTAAAGAGCAAGAAAATAATAGCTGAAAGGAAACGACAATAACACTCCTCCTTTAGTATAAGGAACTGATACCCACGTTCAGACTGTCTTTGCTTTGTGCTTCTAGTCTGAGATGTCATCACCCTGTCCTCAACAAAGCAAAGTGAAGCAAAGCAGAGCAAAAAACACTCATCCGTTCCCCTTGTTTCTGATGTTCTTGCTGGGAGTGTTTTTAGCTTCTTCCGTAACTAAAATTATACTGCCCGTGCATACAAGGGAAGTATCAGTAGGTATGTGGTAACCCCAAGAAATGCCTATACTGGGAAAACTCCTCTCAAGAGTGCTCACCCTCAGATGTTTTAATGTGTGTTGAACACCACTGCAATGGTGACTATTAGGCTGAAGGGGGAAAACGTGGGAGAGAGAAAAAATCAATAGACTGGAGTGTTTAGAATCCTGAACAGCACCACAACACATTCATCTTAATTATTAGAGTGATAGGTTTTATAATAACAGCAGAGCAGGATATTTTTTTAATTCTCTTCACTGCACAATGGAAACACTGGTAACTTTAGGAGTTAAAACTGAGCAGCAGGTTCCAAAACACACACACATTACTCAAACACTGTTTTTAAGATAAAAATAAAATAAATCTTTACTCATTGATCCTGCAAGTTGCAGGCTTAAACTTGGTTACAGACATTTTCAGTAAGTTAAAAAAGACTCCAGAGATCAATAGAAGTAATGAAGAAAAATGTTAAAAATAGTAAAAAACAAAAGATGGGTTCTCTCAAGTGGCATGGCTGAGAAAAAAATTGTGGATAGGAGAAACTCAACAAGGTGTCCTCCTTCTCTAGTGTCCCAAAGGCTTGTAATTAAACAGAACAATTGAAGATGGCGAAGCATCATCCTTGCCTGCCAGCCGAAGAAAGAGGTTTAGTGGTTTGGTCAGGAGAGGAAGGGTGTGTGTGTCATACAACCTATCCAGCATGTTTGTTTACAAGCACTTCCTTTCTCAATTGTAGATTAAAGTTATCACCTGTTCCTGCATTTGTTCTGTTTCCTTTCTCTGAGGTGATTGTGCATTAATTTGCATGTTGAATTGGTCATAATTCCAATGTTAATTGGTTCTAAGAGCAGATAGGTCCACCTGTTCTTGTCTGTTACATACTGTCAACTTGCATGCAATTTATTCTGACCCTAAGGAGGCTTTTAAGGAATGTGACATACATTGATAAGGGTAAAGATTAGCACAGATGGAAGGCTGACAGAGGAAATTCACTTCACTGCCACCCACCCACCCCACCAATTTCCATGGCTGAGGAGGAATTTGAACCTAGGTCTTCTGGGTCCTAGTCTCTCACTCTATCCACTACATCTCCTGCTCCTAGTGAAACAGAACCTCAGGTGTCGCTGCTGTTTTTCTCTCATTCCAGATAAAGATTCAGTTATCACCTTATTTCTGAGCACACTTTTAAAACATTGCATAGGAGGCAGTAGCACTGCAGATGAAGCATACACTACTTCATTAAAGCTTCCCCGGCTAAATGCTCACCAGCTGTTATTTATGTAATTTTTAAATATATTCTTATCCTTATTTTCCAGTCAAAACCTTAAGGTGGTTTACCCTTTAAAACTATTAAATATAAATTACAACTAACTGATACAGCCCTAAAGAATGTTTAAAATAAAAGCAACAGTAGAAATATGATTCATATTTTAAAGCACAAGAAATGTGCCACAAAAAGAATTGGCAAGCCTTGGCGAACGGTTACGTGCATTCTAATCATCCAGTGCAGAAACTTTGCACTAGGATTGCATTTCCACCCCACCCCACCCTTAATTGAACATATTCTACATTATGGATCAATTTCTGATGTTCCAATGATGAGATCTACTGCATATCCCAATATAATCTGGTGCTGTGTCGTAAGCCAAACAATTAACAGGCTGCTCTGGACATTTGGACGTGTGGCTGTAGGAAAGTGTAAATCTTTAGGAAGTGGATTGTGCTTCTCTCTACCGAATTTGTATTTGTCGAAGGTTTTGTCCCTACTATGAGCCCCATCCATGAGAAGAGAAGACTCCCTAGAAAAGACCCTGATGTTGGGAAAGTGTGAAGGCAAGAGGAGAAGGGGATGTCAGAGGACGAAATGGTTGGACAGTGTCATCGAAGCGACCAGCATGAATCTGACCCAACTCCAGGAGGCAGTGGAAGACAGGAGGGCCTGTCGTGCTCTGGTCCTTGGGGTCATGAAGAGTCGGAAATGACTTAACAACTAAATAACAGCATGAGCCCCAGAAGAAGAGCCAGCCTGTGTAACCTTAGGCAAGTTGCACAGTCTGAGGGTGTTCCCAGAAAAAGTAGAAGGAACTAATGAACCACTTCTGAATACTCTATACTTAGAAATATCTGGGAAGTCTCTGCTGGAATTCTGGTATCTCAGTTGTGAGTGGGCAATGAGCTTTTCCATCAAAACTAAGGCATAAAACCTGGCATCCTTTTATTTGGTATTGTAATAATCATACTGATTCTCTTAACAATCCCCCAGCCACTCATGTTGATTTATGGAAATAAATGTGTTATTTTAACTAGTAATACCATTTTATATGTTTACTATGTGGGGTTTGATGGTTTATAACAATTTTTTTTTTGGCTTTGTATAATGTATTGCATTAAATTGTATCAAATAGTAATAAAACAGAAAACCCTGGGAAGGATCACCATAAGTTAGAATTTACCTGCAAGAGGTGGCCAGCGGCAGCTGAGCCCAGTGGAAGGTAGGTGAGGACAGCCAGGGGAAAATGGGAGCAGGAGGGATGATGAGGGAGGAGAAGGAGGGCGCACAGGTCCATGGCTTAGGGGGCACAACACTTGCTACAGTGTGGGCAAGACACTCTACCACTGCCTCCAGTGACACATCCTTATACTCGATTATCTTTTCTAATTCCTTCGTTGCTACCCTTCTGAGTCTCAACCTTCTTCTGATTTCTTGGCTTCATTCTCCATTTGGGTTGATGATTGAGCCAAGATATACAAAATCTTTAGCAATTTCCATTTCTTCTGAAATCTGAAGATTTATGTCTTCTTCAACTGAAGTCCTGCTTTTGCTATTCTTTCATGTTCATTAAAAGTCACTTCAAGACGCAAACAAGATGTAACACAGGCTGCGAGACTAGAATGTAACATTCCCACCCACAAGAAAGGAGATGCCAAGGAGTGAAGTCATTGTAAGACCCTTGCAATAATTTCCCATGCAAGCAAAGGGCTATGTACCTAGGAAAAGGTTTTGCAGCAAATCCTTTTTATATATACAGAACAAAAAATGTCCAAAATTCAAGCTAGACTGAGAAGGAATCAATCTGCTATGGACATTTTTGGTTCAGCCCAATGGGTGGGGAAGTCTTAGGAAGAGGCTGTAATTCAAGATTTAAATTGAGAAAGAGTGGGAGAACTTGGAGAGGCAGGAGCTGCTGTTCACTTTAGGGGTGTTAAGGCTCTTTTCACCTTGGTTTTGGCAGTACAATCCCAATGGGTTTGTGCAGGAAAGTGTCCTGAACAGCTGAATCCAGGGAGTGGTCTTATGTATTTACATGCGTGTTTATATTTTATTTTAGGGCTTTAAAGACTATATATTTGGAGTTCTTTCCTTTATGTCGTGGCTGTCCCACCTCAGTGGATCAATATATCTGAGACTTCATTTTTCTGTGGCTTCAAAGAGACATTTCCATTCTTCTTTATTTCTTGAAGCAACTCCTGCTCTGGCAACCTGGGGGGGGGGCAGGGACAAGTGGCAGTTGGCCCAGGAGACAAAATTCTTAGGGGCACAAAATTTCAGCCCTACCTCGGAGCCACCAGGCAAGGTGCAGCACACAGCAGGTGAGAAATTGCATGAACCTCATTTCCCCACACCTCGCCTCCACTCTTCCAGCTGTGGCTGGCTTTCTTGCTTGGTTTTCCTCTCTGGGTGGGGGATGGTGGGGTTTGACAACAGCTGAGTGGACCTGTCTCCTTGGGGAGGGTGGCCTGGAGCAGCCCATTCTCCCTCCCCTGGTGTGAACAAGGCAGGAGGTGTGTGAGGAAGGAGCTCATCCAGCATCAAGCCCCCTCCCCTGCCACTTCCCAAGCCAACCTCGAGGGGGCGCAATACTTGCTCCAGGTGCTGACAAGCCACACTATGCCACTGACACCGAACCTAAAATTTGATATTGTTGCTTACTGTTATTTTTTTATATATGGCATGTGTGTGGTTTTTAATCTTACCTTACTTTGTTTAGTAGAGACAGACTATTTCCTAGCATTGATGTCTATATGCTTTTACGTTTTAAGAAAGGAATAAGTTATTGAAAAAGTGAAAAATAGACTGGTTCAAAACAATAACTTATGGTTAAAATTAACACACAGAAACTAGGGCGTTTAGACCACAAATCAACTCCACAATGGGCGTATTAATGCATCTTCTTCTCAAGTTACAAATGGGTGCAACAGAAGTTGTGTTTTCTAATTCTGTTGTAAATCCTCTCTGTACAAGATTTTAAACTTTTAAGGCAGAAAGTGTTGCTTTACGGAATATAATATTTCCCTCTGGATCAACAATCCTAGTCAATTATAGCAAAGTTTGTTTAGTGGAGTCACCTTGTACAGTGACAATCAGAACTCCAGTAAAGTATTTTCTTTATGATGATGCTTTACAGACCATGAATTTTTTCAGGCTTTATTTCATCATTGCGTGTTCATTAATGTCATTTGAATGTTTATATTGTCCTGTGCATTATCTGTAATTTTGCTCTGCTTGTTGAAGTCATCTCGGATCTTCTCAAATAAGGTCCACTGAGCTGAAAGTTAACACAGAATCCTGCTTGATTTGGGTGAGAAGCTTAGAGCAGCATTTCAGCTGAGTTAACATGCGTATGCTCTTCCTGACCAGCAAGAGTTCCTGAACAAGAAAATAAAACCACACTTCCTCTGCTGGGTATGAGAGGCAAGTACTTGCACCAAGTAATCTTTGCCTTTCTGCTGCCTGCAGTTACACTGCAATCATGTTCTTCGGAGGGATGGCGATTATTCTTTGCTCCTCTCTACTTATGTGTGATGGAACCAGGGCTTTAACTGGTAAGGTCAAGAAGTAGCTTTAATAGTGTCAGACAGCATTTGCCCACTTAATATTGAATCACAGTAGTTGCTGGCAATACCTTTATTTTTAAAACCCCAGGATATCAATCTGGTTTTGGGTAGATTTTGTATACTGTAACTGTTTTGCCAAAAGAAGTCTGTTGTCAGGTATACAGTACTAGTAATTATTAGACCAGCTGGTTCTTTTAAAATGTTTTCTTTAACAACAGTGCCAGAGATGCCACCTGTGTTTACAGCCTTTGTTGATCTTTTGTTTTTATGAGCATTCTGAGACATGAACATATAGCCGGTAATATCTCTAAGCAAGGGGGGAAAACACTTGAAATGGTTTTGCCAAGCTGTTCTTGAAGGTACCACACAGATTCTTTCTGTAGTTAAAGGTAAGCGTGCAGAAAAAGCAGAGGCATGACGCTCAAATTGCCTGTTACTGAACAAAATGCACTCTTTTTGTTTCGCTTTTTGTTTAGGACAGTGACAGAGTCCATAAAACACACAATTTGCTATTGTTTCGGGAATTGTAGAGGGAGTTTCAAAATATAGTAGAACTGTTTTAACTTTTTCAAGCAGAATTGCACTGAAGTCCGTCGGCATTTGGTTAATGCTTACAGTGAGATGCCCACCAGCTGGCTAAGGACGTTTGATATTTGAAGTGGGGCCTCGGCTGCTGTCTATCACTTCAAATTTTAAAACATTCAAAGAAGGAGGGATTAGTGGATTGAACTGAGAGCGGTTATGAGGGATAAAAGCTTACATACTTTCTACATTGTGGCAGAATAAATTATTTTCTTTAAAATACTGTACCTCTGCATGATAATTTTAAAATATAATGCAGAGGTATTTTATTTTTAAGGATGAGAATAGTAAGCACTCCAAACCACTTCTATTACATGCTCAATGTCATTATTCACTCTATGCCTGCAATTGGCTGTCTTTTTCTTGTTCTTTTTTTTTTTTTTTTGCTAGTCCTAAAAGTGTGAAGCTTGAGGCAGGGTGAGGGTTTTTTCATTTCACAGACGGATATACGATCTTTCTTGCTATGTATCAATCTGGAAAAGGTTCCCAGATCAACTAACCAAAATCAGGAACAGGGCTGCAATCCCATATACAGTATACTGGGTATCAAGTCCTATTCAACTCTATAGTTAATTAGGAAACATTGGATCATTATATAAAACAGTCCTTCAGCCTTACCTTCTAAAAGCAACAGAAACTAAACATATTTGATGAAACCAACAGTAACGAGTAATAACAAGAAATTAGCAAATTAATAAGGTTTGGAAGCACTTGTTAGTGATCTCGGTAGGCGTTGTTTCCTTACTAGTATGTTTAAGACAATCATTATTATATATGAGATTTAAGTATTTTTAGCTTGTTGTCTTATGAATGTATCATTATTATAAATGAAAGATTGTTCCAGTTTTTCTCTAATAGTCCTTGAGGTAGTTTACAAAATAATTAGCCAAAACTATGTATGCTGTTTTAATGAAACCTATTTATTTGTATCTTGAGAGTCTTCTTTAGACTAGGTTGCCATCTGAAAGTTTAAGCACCAATAGCAGCTTGTAACAGAAGGAAGTGGACCCCTTTCTCCCACCCTTTCTGAGTGAGCCCCAATCTCCATTAGGTCCACAGTCTACCAGAAAATGACATGAAAAGAGAAGACATGGATGGGGAAGGAGAGGCAATGTTTTCTTCAAGTTACACATTGGCAGAAATCGTCTTGACTAGCATAGTAAGTTAGAACTAGTCTACACCCATTGAATAAATGGAACTTAAAAGAATTGACCCACCAAATCCTCATGGATTTAAGTGGGTCTATTCTAGTGCTGCTTACTACACTAAATGACAGGATTTCAGCCAACAATTGCTTAGCTTTTTATATGATACTAGAAATTAAATATTAAAAGCAAAGTATATGTTACATATGGACACAACTGGTAGACAGCTTTCTTGGGACAGGTTTTGTACATTTATGGGTAGTAGTTAATATCTCTAAAGTCTATACTTGCTGTTATCAGGTATTGAATATGGAAGTCAGCATGTAGAGTTAAAAATAGAACAACTCTTAGTATGAATTTAGCTGAATAGTCGCTGTTTAACGTATTTGTGAAGGCTTTCACGGCTGGGAAGCAAGACTGTTACGGGTTGTAGGGTGATTGCCCAAAGCTACAGTCTTATTTGCAAGCCAACCCATTAAGAAATGCATTACCATTGCAAATGTTGTGCTACTTCTAAATACGTGGGCAGTTTCTACAGTGTTCTGTGAGTCAACTGTCAATTGCAGAGTGACAGTTGGCCACAGAAGAGGATTTAGTTGTGAGAGGACGGAAGAAAATGCTGCTTCCTCCTCATGTGCCTTGAATGCTGTCAGTTGTTTTTAATTTCAATTCACAAAGACCTTGATGACAAATTTCTCTGATGAATTTGGGAGTACCAACATAAAAATAGGAGAGGAAGAAATATTTCCTATTTGACTACTGCAATGATCTCTGGGTTTATTCTCAATATATTGGCCATGGCTAACATGTGTTTAGTCCTTACTGAGAAAAATCTAATGTGCTTCCCTCCTGCAACATCCCTTCCAGGAAATTATCCACTTTCCCGGGCAGTTAAAGTTTCAGATCAACAGGGGGAAACGGAAGGAGGGCAGTCAACTTTAAAAACCTCTAGGTAGTTTTTTCCCTTGGAATTTTCCATCTCCAACCTGCTCAGTGTAAATAACTAATTCTGGGAAAGAGATAGATGGACAGAGGAAGTTAAGTCATAGAATGAGGAAATTATTTTGGAATTGCCCACTTGAGCTTCTTTATTCTGTGGACACCTCTCAAATTTCCCCTATTTCCAATAGGATCTTAAGACAAAAAAATAAGAGCCTGATCCATTTCAAATAAGTGTCTTTTACATAATTTTAAGAGAGCCCTATAGCCTATGAAACTATAGGTGCTAGAAATTGAATCAAAATGTTACCACAGTATTTATTTCAAACATTGTTTGAAAAGCAGTACACTTTTATTCCAATCCAAAACCCGGTATGAATCATATTTTTAGTGGACTACTGGGATACTAAAAACAGATGCGCTTTCACATCCAGTAGGACTCTTCACTGGGCAACACATTTCAGAGCTCAAAGTAGTGGGGAGGATAAAATAATGTAAATATCCTGTTCACATGTTGCCACCTCAGGATTTGAGCTATGTAGAGTCCAAAATGGAGACTGGAAACTTGTTGCATCAACTTGGAGTATCTGGTTTTATATCAGGCCAGGTAGACTGTTTCCCCCCCACTATCCAGGTAATCAAGGTTCATGCAATTAGGTTAAGCACCGTACTGTATTTGGCCTTGCTTGCTGTAGTTAAGTTATTTGTGCCTGGTATAACTAACAAACCCTTCTTCCCTTATGGTATTGTACTCATGCTGCCTGACTCTTTATCAGGGCTCCTATTCCTTAAGGTCCCTGAGCGATTGGCTCAAGCATTATATGGCTGGTTCTCCATCTTTGCTGTCCTTCTGCAGGCAAGCAAAGACCTTTATCTTCAGGCAAGCTTTTCCTTGGTGACTGACTGACTGACTGACTGTAGGAGGTTATAAACAGGATGGTTTATCTTTTGTTGCTTCTCAATCTGTTTTTCGTAACATTTTATTCCAATATTTTACATATAATGCTATTAATTATTTAATATTTGAATAATTTCCTGTTTTTAGCTTTGAATTAGCTGGAATAACTTGTTAGAATAATAGGGGGAGGGAGCTGAATTGGGTCATGGCAGGAGCAGAGAAGGTCTTGAATTCTTCCCCTGTGAGAGTTCTACGGAAAATCCCCCCTCTGAAGCTGCTATTTATCTCTAGAGGAAATTCTCATAGGGTTTCTGTTCTATGCCCTTGGCAGCCAAATGTCTCTGGGAAATTGGCAAGATGGGCATTCTTCAGATATCTCTATTTGTAGATGCCTCTTTTTGGCTATCATGGCTGAAAAAGTTCCAAGGTCAGAGTGTGGGTAAAGTGGGTTTGGTGGACTTGGCCTTACGAATGAGACTTGTTACCTACATTATGCCAGCAGACTTCCATGGACAATTTCATCTCATGTCAGAAGCTAAGCAGAGTCAAGCCTAGGGAGTACTTGCATGGGAAAACCAACCAGAGGATCCCAGGAAGGAATTCTGACTGGAACTTTAGAGAGTGGCTGCTAGCCAAAGCTGATGTCACTGGGCTAGATCGACCAGACAGGTCTCAATATAAAACAGCTTCTTGTGGCCCGATTCAGATTATAGAAGTATCACTATCCCTAGTTTCTCTGCCAATGTGTGTGCCTGCTTCTGAAATAATCCGAAGGTTCTAGACATCCTAGAAAGAAAAAGTCTGAACTCAAACCTTCTGCTGCTCCATTAATTGACTCAAGAACATAAGGATACACAAAGGAAATACACTTTGTGATTAAATATCTTTCCTTTGAGGCTAAAGTATCTAAAGATTTTTCTGTTTGTAAATTATTATTGTACAGGTATAAATAGGTGGTTGTCCAATGCAATGTTTACACCTGGAGCACCTATTCCTATCAACAAACATGACCCAGGAGTTCAGAGAGCAGCTAGATTTGGAGTTTACAGATACAACAACATGTCAAATGACATCTTTCTATTCAAAGAATCTCACATTAACAAAGCTACGCTTCAGGTAAGACCTGTTTAGTTGTTATGACAGCAAATACTATAAATATAATTTAATGCCAAAATAATAATGTGCCCCTTCCTTCTGCCAGTGTGGGATGGCACCTTCCCCTAACACATGCATCCTCAGGTTGTGTTATCATTCTAGCCCTTCCGAAACCCATGGATAGCGATACGAGCTATTGTTTATTCCTTGGTTCAGCTGTTGTTGCAGCTGTCTTGATAGCTAAATAAACCCATGTTAATATCATAATTTATATTAGGGCATCTTCAGATAAATTTGAAGCCAGAATCTCCTTCCAGCTCTGTAATGTTTGGATAAAGAGAGATAGTGGGTTTGTGAGGGGAAATTAAGATGAAATGATAAAATATTTGTTGCCCACTGTACATACTTTTTAAAGCTCTCTATAGTCTTTAGTCAAATTTCAGTCTAGACTAAAATCTAGTTTCTACTGCATGGTGTGTGTTTTCCCCCCAAAAGTTGTGAACATAAATTGCACTGGAATGAGTATACCTATCATAGGCATCAGCATGTCAGATGTTTTAGCTCCCTAACTATTGCCTGTCTCCAGTCTCCAGTCCATCCGTTCCCTCTGTTCTCTTCATTTTGTAAATAACTAAGTGCTATTTAGTGATATGGAAACTGCTTTCTCTAGGTAGTGAGAGGACTGAAATACAAAGTTAATGCTGATATTGACCGGACAGTGTGCAGGAAAAGGATGCATCCCAACTTGGACACATGTGATTTCCAGAGGAACAAAATACTGAAACAAGTAAAAATCTTCCTGCTTTTCCTATCACCTAATTTTGTATGCAGTGGGATTTTTTGCACCATCCACTCAGGGGGCTTTTCATGAGGATGTCTTCAATAATGTTAGGGACGATTGTTTCCACATTGCAACAACACCACAAGACCACCACAGCAAACAGTATCCTGGCACCTTAGAGAGTGACAAATGTATTATGGCATAAGTTTCCATGGACTATAAGTGCAGGAATGTATTCTGCTGGAAGAGAAAAACAATCAATCAATCAAACAAACAAACAAACAAATAATGTGAGTTTAGATTGGGGTGAGTAGCTTTTGACTGGGTTCTGAGTCCATGGCATTTCCTGTTCCCAATTCCAAACTGAGCAGAGGAGACCTTTCTGCTTCAAACGTAACACTTTTATTGGACAGAACAGGCCTCTTATCCATTACATCTTCAACAGGTCTATCACCCAACTCCTTACTCTCAACTGTGTCAACAACATTCCCATAAATAGTCCAATTATCATACCTAAGAGGGGGGGCAGAGTCTCCCCCAGGATTCACTTCCTTTCACTCCAGGAGACGGGTGTGTGGGTTCCCCTGGCACCAACTCCCACAGCATGGGTGCTGAGCTCAGTTCGCTTTGGGTTCCCACTTCCCTGCCTACTTTCTCCATTACCCAGGTAGTTTATTTCATCTGGCATCTCCGCTTCTCCAGTAGTCCATCTCTTTTTAGCTCATCTCTCTAAAGCCTTCTGTTTCCTCTCCCGTTCCATCTTCATCCTCTCTTCTTTTTTGTTCTCCTCCAAAGAATGCCTCACACAGGGGTTGGTGTCCCCTCTAGTGTTCTGCCTGTTCTTCTGGGACCATCAGTTGGACCAGTTCTCTAGACCAAAGATCCTCCTTGTTTACCCACTCCCAACCCTCTGGCAACTCTCTGGGCTGCTTCCCACTCTTTACACACTGTCCTGTCTTAAGTTCTACTCTGTGCTCCTTTCTTTACTCTTCCTCCTCCTCCTCCACCTCCTCCTCCTCCTCCTCCTCTTTTCCCCTCTGTAAAGTGCCTCTCTGTCCCCCCAGATTATTTCACTAGTCTGAGGCCCACGCCACGTTCCCTTTTTATGCTGCCACCAGGTGATCTCTGCCAACAATATTTATTTAGAAAGATGGAGGCCCATACTACATGTAAAGTTTAACAAAACAGGTTTATTGGATACAGTTCACATAAACAGGTTCTTCAAAGACTAAAGTATTCAGTAGTTTTGTAATAACTTGTTTCACAACTCTCTATAAATTCCACACTCTCAACTGCCTCCCTTAACTCCTCACAGACTAACTCTCCTCTCTAATTCTCTAACTGACTTCTCACGTCAGGCTCTCTCATGATCTAACTCTGACTGACTGCTCTTATCTGCCTCACCCCTCCCTTCTAGTTTCTCTGGCTTCGCCTCCCAACAACTCCCATTGGTGCATGCAAATACCCTCATACATGAGCCAGGGCAGGGTGATTGCTACACCCTCTTCCTAGTTATCTCTTCACCCCTGGTTGGTTCCTTCCTTGCCGGATGTTCATCCTTTCCTGGGAAACTAAGTGAATCCATCTCATCTGTTTTTGGTGGGACCTTCCAATGTCACAACCATTGGATTCCCACCTCTAAGGGCATGCTTGATGATTCATTATCCTCCATTATCATGGATAGAGGGGACAGCGCACTTACATTTTGTTGCAGCACTAGCACCAAGCTTATTAACAGAAAGAAAGAAGCAGCATTATTAGCAAAGACTGTAAGCCTCCTTGATGGTCTCAGAAGACATTTGAGGGGAAGTGTGTCCTCCACAAGTGCCTCTTTGCTTCCTGTCTTCCCAGCCCACAAACCACTAGCACCCTTGCACACACTTTTCTGTATTGGTGTGAACCGATGTGAATGCATTTGCTGGAGAAACAGTAGAAGCCCCAGCAATAGTGGAGAGAAATTGGTTTGGGCAGAGCACTCTAGACTGATTTGCATTAATGTGTACATTGTGCACCCAACAGAAAATAGTATGAATCTGACTGCCCCAATTCCTGGAGCAATCTCCGTATTTTTTTGCCAGTGTAGTTGCCCCCAAGTTAAGACCCCTTCTCCTTGGCGGGATGAGAGGTGTCAGAAAGGAGAAAATTATATAAGCTACCCCAAGAATAACAATTTAATATCAAAGGAAGGTCAGCACAAGTTATAATAGGCGAAAGACGGCCTTGGAAATCTGAGGATATCCTTTCTTTCTTCTCTTCCTCATGCGAAGATATGCATCTTCTAGACCAGTGGTTCCCCAACCTTGGGCCTCCAGATGTTCTTGGACTACAACACCCAGAAGCCTTCACCACCACCTCTGCTGGCCAGGATTTCTGGGAGTTGAAGGCCAAGAACGTCTGGAGGCCTAAGGTTGGGGACCACTGTAGATGTAAGCTGAGTTGTACACAGTCCATTCCAAAATTTTCAGAGTAATGTGCTGAATTACTTTCATGCCTCTTTGTGAAATTTCCAGAGCAGACCACAGTAAGGTAAAAGGTCCCAAGCGATATAGGAGAAATTTGCACTATAAGGCTATTGGGTGTATCTCTATGACTCAGAAGTTGAGTGGATGATACTGGTCTGAGGAGGAGGAGGTATTATATCCCCAGACCTAGTGTTCCCACTGTGCATCCAGAGAAAACTGCTGTGAATCACTCACACTAAGCAAAATCTTTATTCTGGGTGGTTACAAGGAGCAATTTTGCATTTCCCACAATATCTTGGAATGATACTGTGGTGGGTATTCTGGGCACTGTGCAAGGTTTAAAATGGCAGCTCGGAGGCACTGCTGTCAGCTAGGTCCATGGTTGTAGGGACCCTTATTCTGGGAGAGGACTCAAAGAACTTTGCTAAGGGGGTCCTGAGACTTGGACCATCTTAATTGGTTCCATATGGCTGACAATTCATGTTATCCAAGCACTGGAATGTGGACAAGAAATATTTACAAAGCAGTAATATTGATACGTTGTTAATATGTTGCCATCAGCATTTTTTAA